GTTCTAGATGCATTCTCTCCTGACGTTTTGCCTGCCATAACCTGCAATGTCATTGGAGGGAGTGCCTTTGGAGCCTTCTCAGCACTTGGAACTATAGCCTGTTTGTTGAGACCGGAGACTGTCTGTGTAAGTCAGGGGTCCTCAAACTTTTTAAACAGAGGGCCAGGTCGCAGTCCCTCAAACTGTTGGAAGGCCGGATTATAATTTGGGGAAAAAAATGAATGAATTCCTATGCACACTGCACGTATCTTATTTGTAGTGCAAAAAAACACTTTAGAACAATACAATAATTAAAATGAAGAACAATTTTAACAAATATAAACTTATTAGTATTTCAATGGGAGGTGTGGGCCCACTTTTGGGATTGTTGTTGTTGTTGTGTGCGTTGAAGTCGTTTCAGACTTAGGTTGACCCTGAGTGAGTCCTTTGTTTGAAGACCCCTGGTGTAAGTGGACAGCTGCCGCACACACATTTTTCACTTTTATTATGTGTATAGATCAGGAGTCCTCAAACTACGACCCGGGGGCTGAATACGGCCCTCCAAGGTCATTACCCAGCCCTCACTCAGGATCAACCTAAGTCTGAAACGACTTGAAAGCACACAACAAAAATAACAACAATCCTACCTCATCAGCCAAAAGCAGGCCCACACTTCCCAATGAAATACTAATAACTTTAAAATTGTTCTTCATTTTAATTATTGTATTGTACGAAAGTGTTTTTGGCACTACAAATAAGATATGTGCAGTGTGCATTCATTCATATATTTTTTTTCAAATTATAATCTGGCCCTCCAACAATTTGAGGGACTATGACCTGGCCAGAGGCAGCCCTAGGTAATTTTCAACAGTAAACAAACAGTATTTTGGCACCCCCACCCCCCAACCAATCACTGATATCTGGTGGTCATGGGAGTCCTGTGTGTCACCTTTGGTTCAATTCCATCATCGGTGGAGTTCAGAATGCTCTTTGATTGTAGGTGAACTATACATCCCAGTGAGTACAACTCGCATATGTCAAGGTCTATTTTCCCCCAAGAGCGCCTCAAGAGTGCCCCTGGGCAAAATCAACTATACTGCGAATGCTTACTTTGCGTAATGGTTGAGCCGCCCCTGGGTAGGAAGGATAGGAATATTTGGTTCAATTCCATCATTGGTGGAGTTCAGAATGCTTTCTTTGATTGTAGGTGAACTATACATCCCAGTAACTACAACTTGCATATGTCAAGGTCTATTTTCCCCCAAGAGCGCCCCTGGGCAAAATCAACTATACTGCAATCGCTTACTTTGCGTAATGGTTGAGCCGCCCCTGGACCTGGCCCTCTGTGTAAAAAGTTTGTGGACCCCTGGTATCGATTATTATACAGCGCGGAAAACTCATGGTAACCCAATGATTATGACTACGATGATGATGATGATATTGATGACACAAGAGAGACGGTATTTTTGGGGCTGGGGAGTCCTACCTGTGTGTTCCCTCCCATGTGCTCAGCACTGTAGCACTTGAGTGCCTTCACTCCCCCTTCCACTTCCTTTGGATAAATATTTATTCTCAGAGAGATATATTTTTACCATTCCTACGTGGAGGATGTCTCTCATCCCGAGGAAGCTAGGGCAGGGCTGGTGCTTGGTGGCGGGAGTGGCGAGACAGGGAGCAGTGTTCGTGACCAGGCCGGAGGGGTCTTCTTTAGGGAGGGAGTCGCTGATGAGACCTGACAGCCCTTTCCTCCAGCGATGTGGCCGGCTCAAGAAGACCTGGCTTGCAAAAGAGAGCCACGCTGGGCTTTCTTGGTGTGTGAGGTGGGGAGAGCTCCCTCCGTGCTGATTCATCAGTCGCCTGCCGGGCTGGCTCGGAGGGTGCTGTCCAAACCCGTTTTCTTCAGCCGGCTTCCCTTCGTCAAAGCATATGCATGCCGGCTCCCACCCGCTATCCACCACCCCAGTTTCAAAGTGTGGCCCCCAGTGCTTGAGTAGCTCTCTTCACTGGTGCTCGTTGGGTGTTGGGTTTCACCGACCTCACGTGACCCTCCAGGTGACCTGGAGTTTAAAAGGCCTCGGCTGGGATTTCAAGAGCAGGTCAGGCCAGGGAAGCGGAGTGACGAAACCGCGACCTGGATTCCCCCCTGAGCCAAGGCAGGTGTGAGAGTGAGCATGTTTTGCGTGCGTGTATGTGTGTCGGCAGAATTTGGATGCACCTGGGCGTGCGCGCCGGGCGTGCTCTTGTGCGAGGACACAGGTGGGTGTGTAAATAACACAGGTGTGTGTGGCTTTTTTTTGTTTTGTTTTGTTGGGCTGTTATCGAGTCCGCGCATCTCTGTGGGCGAAGGGAACAAAGCTCAGTCGATGCTTGGGTTTTTTGAGGGCGTGCAGACCTCCCACTTGGAGCCCAGGTCTCAGGCAATTTGGGACTACTCCCCAAAAAATAAAAAAAATAAAAAGCCGAACTCCTTGCCTTTTCCTTATCTCTCTTCAGCTTTTCCTTCGTACCCCATAAAATGATCTCCTTGATATTGTTAGTCATAGCGAACGCATATTGGAAATGGAAGTCGTTTGAACTCGAACGCCATGTTGGTCAGAATGAGTGGTACTCGTGGAAGTAGTATGTCTTCACCTTTATGAGGTCCATTCAGAATTGTTGCTTTAGTTAAATTGTTCATCCATTTTTAACTACTAATCGTGTGCCATTGCATAATTTTGGCCAAGATACTGCAAATCCCATCATCCATGGTCCATCCTCCCACAATCCGCAGTGGGACATAAAGTGAGTCATGGGGAGATCTGTGTGCCAAATTTGGTCCAGGGCCCTCATTTGTGGGGGTCACAGTGGTCTGCAGAAGGCAATTCGGGCCAAGGTACTGCAAATCCCATCATCCGTGATCCATCCTCCTGCAATCCACACTGGGACATAAAGTGAGTCATGGGGGGTCTGTGTGCCAAGTTTTGTCCAGGTCCCTCATTTGTGGGGGTCACAGTGGTCTGCAGAAGGCAATTTGGGCGAAGGTACTGCAAATCCCATCATCCATGGTCCATCCTCCTACAATCCGCACTGGGACATAAAGTGAGTTATGGGTGCCAAGTTTGGTCCAGGTCCTTCATTTGTGGGGGTCGTAGTGGTCTGCAGGAGGCAGTTCAGGTGAAGGAACTGCAAATCCCAGTTTAAGCTTGATCTGCCATTGGTGTGAGCCACAGTGGTCTGTGGGAGCCCAATCAGATGAAAATACTGCAAATCTCATCATCCATGTTCCGTCCTCCCACAATCCTCACTGGGACATAAAGTGGGTCATGAGGGGATCTGTGTGCCAAGTTTGGTCCAGTTCCCTCATTTTTGGGAGTTGCAGTGGCAATTCAAGTGAAGGTACTGCAAATCCCATCACCCGTGGTCCATCATCCCGTAATCCGGACCAGGACCTAAAGTGGGCATGGGGGGGGTCTATGTGCCAAGTTTAGTCTAGGTCCCTTATTTGTGGGGGTCGCAGGGGTCTGTAGGTGAAGGTACTGCAAATCACATCATCCATGGTCCATCCTCCCACAATCTGCACCAGGACGTAAAGTGGGTCATGGGGGGGTGGGGTGTCTGTGTGCCAAGTTTGGTCCAGGTCCCTCATTTGTGGGAGTTGCAGTGGTCTGCAGGAGGCAATTCAAGTGAAGGTACTGCAAATCCCATGATCCATAATCTGTCCTCCCCCAAACCGCACCAGGATGTAAAATGTGTCATGGGAGATTGGAATGCAAGGTTGTGTCACAATGTTGAATCAATCCACCGACTACTTTTCGAGTTTTGCCCGTGTTTCCTACTTGCGGGCGCTCACTTGTCAGGCAACAGGCAGCCGCTTAGTTTCTTTCCTGCGCCTTTGACTAGGAGACGATGCCCAGAGCTGTCAGCCGCTAATGCTAACCAGCCGTGTGTTCTGGCTGGCGGAGAGCGAGTCTAAAGTTTCAGGCGGTTAGCATTGTAGCAGAGGATTAGGATGTGTCACCATTGCTCCTGGGTACACCGTTGGGGGTCTGATGAATCGCAACTTGCTTCTCATTCTGGCGGGGCAAGATTACAGAGGGAGGGTCTTGCTTTATGGAGAGGCGAGGGAGCCAATCCGCTTTCCCATCGTCCCAATTGTGTGTGGCCGGTAGCTGAGGCAAAAGTTGTCCAGGGCTTGGAGAAGTCTGGCCCACAGTTTCGCATCTAAATCGGTGTTTCTCCACCTTCCTAATCCCGCCCCCCCCCCTTTAATACAGTTCCTTATGTTGTGATGACCCCCAACCATAACATTATATTATATTTTTGTTGCTACTTCATAACTGTAATTTGGCTCCTGTTATGAATCGTAATGTAAATATCTGATATTCAGGATGCATTTTCATTGTTGATGGTTTTTTCATGGACGGGCCACTCCACTCCACTCTAAGCCCTGCCCTCCCCCCAGCACCCCTCCCTCACCTTCTCTCTCCTCCTCCCTCTTGGTTCCAAAGCAAACCTCACCTCTGCCTAAAATGAGGGGGGGGGGGCTGAGTGATGTCAACACCTCCCTCCGGAGAAAAACAAGAGGCCTCTGGGAAGCAATGGAGTTCTGGGAAAAGTTAGCAATGTCTCAGTTCCTAAGACCATCAGAAATATGTGTTTTCCGATGGTGTTAGGTGACCCCTGTGAAAGGGCCATTCAACCCCCAAAGTGGTCGCGACCCACAGGTTGTATTTTTTGCAGAATATATTTTCATTCACTGGACCAAATATGGCACAAATACCCAATACGCCCAAATGTGAATACTGGTAGGCTTGTGGGGATTGATTTTTGTCATTTGGGAGTTGTAGTTGTTGGGATATATAGTTCACCTACAATCAAAGAGCATCCAACATTCTGCTGACCCATTTATGTCGGATAAGCGAGTCTCTACTTTATTATACTATGATATAATCATTGTTTGTGGATTAGTGGGTTGTCTTAAGGAATCTCCTCCTAACGCCTGTTGCTTTCTCTCTCTTTCTGTTGTCCATTTCCTCCTCCAGCTGAAAGAACTCTATGCACTGACGCAACCTCAGGAAACCCCAAGATGGCTGCCAAGCGCAAAGGTGGCCTGAAGCTCAACGCCATCTGTGCCAAGCTCAGCCGCCAGGTCGTCGTTGACCACAAGGGACTCGAGCAGATCCATGCCGACAAGGCCCTCCTGCGGCGTGAGGCCGCCATTGGCAGTGCCGCCACCAAGGACATTGCCCAGCCCGGGGCCAAAGAGCCCGAGGGGGCCGGCCGCGTGCAGAAGATTGAGGAGGACAAGCGGAGGGAGGTGATTGAGAAGTGGGTCAATGGGGAGTACAGCGAGGACGCCTTGCTGGGGCGCATCGAGAGCAAGGAGCCCAAAAGCTCCGAAGGGGCCGAGGTGCCCCCCGAGGGTGTCTACATGGTGCAGCCCAAGGGTTGCAGCGACGAAGAGGACAATGGGGACGAAGCCGAGCCACCCAAGGGCTCCCAAGAGAGCAGTTTCCTGGGCGAACGGGATGCAGACCTACCTCCGTCCAAGGAGGAAGGCTTCCGGGACCCCAGCGGTGAAGCGGGCCCCAAGCTGATAGGAGCAGCTACCTCAGGTAAGGCGGCCTTGGGCGGCTTCTCTCGACATTTTAGCCATCTTGTCTTTCCCAGTTGGCTCAGGCAAAAGCAAACTGTGGCAGGATCTCTGATATTACATCTCTTTCCTCATTAATAACTTCTGTCGTCCTGATCACCCTCTGATGTTGCTTATCCCAACTTCTATCTGGAAGACCCAGAACTGTCCCACTCTGGAAGTAATTGAGTCGGAAACGACTCCATTGGTGAGAAAGAAGGCATTTTCCAACCATGTACTGGGAACCATGTACTGGGAACCGTGGTGGCGCAATGGGTTAAAGCAGGCACGGGCAAACTCTCTAACTTAGGGAAGGAAAGAAGGAGAAAGAGAGAGGAAAGGAGGGAGGAAAGAGAGAAGGAAAGACAAAAGGGAAATAAGGAAGGAATGGAGGAAGGAGAAAGAAAGGGGGAAGGAGAGGGGAAAGAGGGAAGGAGGGATGAAAGGGTAGAAGGGGAGGAAGAGAGAGAGGGATGGAGAAAGAGGGAGGTAAGGGAGGGAGGGAGGAAAAGAGAAGGAAGGAAAGACAAAAGGGAAGGAAGCAAAGAAAGGAAGGGAGGAAGGAAGGAGAAATAGTGAGAGGGAAGGAAGGAGGAAAGAGAGAAGGAAGGGAAACAAAAAGGAAGGAAGGAGAAAGAGGGGGAAAGAGGGAGGGAGGAAAGAGGGTAGGAGGGAGGGAAGGAAGGATGAAAGAGTGGAAGGGGAGGAAGAGAGAAGGATGGTGAAAGAGGGAGGTAAGGATGGGAGGGAGGGAGGGAGGAAAGAGAGAAGGAAGGAAAGACAAATGGGAAGAAAGCAAAGAAAGGGAGGGAGGGAGGGAGGAGAAATAGAGAGAGGGAGGGAGGAAAGAGAGGGGAGTAGGGAGGGAGGAAAGGAGGAAGAGAAGGATGGAAGAAAGGAAGGGTGAAGGGAAATGAGGGGAGGGAGGATATAGAGAGAGAAGGAAGGAGAAACAAAAGGGGGAAGGAAAGAAAGAAAGAAAGAAAAAAGGAAGGAAGGAAGGAAAAAAGAAAGAGTGGAAGGGAAGGAGAGAGGGAGGGATGGAGAAAGAGGGGAGTTAGAAAGGGAGGGAGGGAAGGAGGAAGGAAAGAGAGAAAGAAGGAAAGGAGGAAGAGGAGGATGAAAGAAAGGAAGGGTGAAAGGAAATGGAGGGAGGGAGGAAAGAGAAAAGGAAGAAAAACAAAGGAGGGAAGAAAGGAAAGGAAGGAAGGAAGGAGAAAGAGAGAAGGAAGGAGGGATGAAAGAGGGAAGGAAAAAAAGGACAACAGGGTGGAAGTGAAGGAGGGAGAGAGAAGAGGGAGGTAAGAAAGAAAGGGAGGGAAGGAGGAAGGAAAGAGAGAAGGAAGGAAGGATAGGATGGTGGGAGAGAGGAGGGCCTGAGAAAAGAGCCCAAGGGGCCGCAACTGCTTTTGCCCATATCATACGTAGATAGTCCAGTGGCTGTGAACGAAAGAAAAAATAGAGCGATGGAGGCATTGCTTTTTGACCCAACCTCATACAAGGCTTTAGAGTGAAACTTTCGGGCCCAGAGGAAGAATGCTCCCTCCCTCTCTCTCCTAGTGTGCACATGGGTTCACCCTCCTTGCAGTGTTATGACACATTCCAAGCCGCATGCATGGATGGGCCGTCCTCCTCGGTCCCTCAGGCCATGCCCCGTGGACGTTGGGTGCCTTCTTCCAGCACTCAAGGGAGAGGGAGAAAGTGAGGGGTGTGGGGCCTGTGGGGAGCTGGACTAGCAGGAGAAGCACATGGGAGACGCCTGGGCCGCCTTCCCTGCTAAAGGAATGTGGCTGCCCCTGGCGCGGTGACAAACAGCAGCAGCCCCAACTGTGACACCTCCATCCACCGCCGCTCGCTTTCACTCTCTCCGCTCGGGCTGCAGACAAGCTGGGCCGGGCCTGCCAAACCAAACTCATTAAAACAAATGAGCCTTTTCTTTTCTCTCTTCTCCCCTCCTTTGATCTTTCTCTCTTTCTTTCTGCCTTTTTCTTTCAGTGACTCCTCATCTTCCCAACTTGACGTTCTCAACACAGTGAGAACTGTGTTAGAACCACTTACTTACTTACATGATCCCTTGTTGTCCTTCCAAGTGTAGTGTCTTGGAGGTGGATATGTAAGTGTTATCATCAGCATACTTGAGTTCTATAACAGATGTTGTAGTTCTTCTGAATGTGCACAGACTACATTGTCATCGGCATATTGGAGTTCTATAATACACATTGTAGGTTTTCTGAATGCACACAGAGTACATTATCATTGGCATATTGGAATTCTATAATAGACATTGTAGGTCATCTTCTGAATGTGCACAGACTACATTATCATCAGCATATTGGAGTTCTGCAATACAAATTGCAGGTCTTCTGAATGCACACAGACTACATTATCATTGGCATATTGGAATTCTATAATAGACATTGTAGGTCATCTTCTGAATGTGCACAGACTACTTCATCAGTGGCATACTGGAGTCCGCTTCTTGGCCCGCATGCTCTCCTGCAGTGAGGACATCTGTTTCGAGGTTGAAGGCGCTCCCGGTCAGGGTTGGCTTGGCGCTCCTTCCTCTTGGCACGTTTCTCCCTTCTATTTGTGCCTCTTTGAATTCCGCAGCACTGCTGGTCACAGCTGACCTCCCATTAGAGCGCTCAAGGGCCAGGGCTTCCCAGGTCCCAGGTGTGTATTCCACAGTTTATAAGGCTGTCTTTAAGCCCCATCTTTCAATCTCTTTTCCTGTCCACCAACATTCTGCTGTCGGCTGGTACCCGCTCTTTTCTGCCGTTCGTATCGAGTTTATTTTAGAAGGGGGTTTCCCGTTTTGTGACATCCAAATGGACTGAATGAAACGAAAACAGCGCTTGGGGACCCGGCGCTGCCCGGGTTATTTGAGAAAGGCATTGTGTGGCAAAGGTGTTCTTTATCAGTTATCAGTTAGTGAAGGTACTGCAAATCCCATCGTGCACAGTTCATCCTCCTCCAAACAGCCCCTGGATGTAGAGTGGGTTATGGTGGCTCTGTGTGCGAAGTTCGATCTTGCTCTGTCATTGGTGAGGGTCACAGTGATCTCATGAAGTGTGTGAAGGTACTGCAGGTCCCATCATCCATGGTGAATCCTCCTTCATACCACAACAGGATGTAGAGTCTATCATGGGGGCTCTGTGTGCCAAGTTTGGTCTAGATCTGTCATTGGATGAAGGTCGCAGTGGTCTCAGAAAGTGTGTTAAGGTACTGCAAGTCCCATCATCCGTAGGCCGTCCTCCCTAAATTGCACCAGGATGTAGAGTAGGTCATGGGGGCTCTATGTGCCAAGTTTGGTTTTTATCAGTCTTTGTTGGGGGGCGCAGTGTTCTGTGGAAACCGAACCATTGGAAAGTACCACACATCCCATCATCCATTGTCTGTCCTCCCCCAAACCTCACCAGGAACTAAAGAGGGTCATGGGGGTTATGTGTGCCAAGTTTGGTCTTAATAATCGGATGAGGGTCGCAGCAGTCTTGGGAAATGAGTGGAGGTACTTGGAAGTCCCATTATCCATGGTCCGCCCTCCTCCAAACCGCAGCAGGAAGTAGATTGGGTCATGGGAGCTCTGTGTCCCAAGTTTGGCCTTTATCGGCCACAGTGGTCTCTGGAAACCGAAGGGGTTGAAAGTACTACAAATCCATCATCCTTTGTTCGTCCTCCCCCATACCTCACCAGGACGTACAGGGATTTATGGGGGTTATGTGTGCCAAGTTTGGTCCAGGTCTGTCGCTTGTGCAATCTCTGTAGCCTGTGAAAGTGAGAGCCAACCAGAAAGCTGCCACATACACTTCCGACCTTCCGCCCTCCGCATACATACATACAAACATTCACTTTTATTATTTATAGATAGATAGATAGATAGATAGATAGATAGATAGATAGATAGATAGATAGATAGATAGATAGATAGATGATAGATAGATAGATTATTATTATTATTATTTATTATTATTATTATTATTATTATTATTATTATTATTATTCTTGCCGACCACTGGTGGTCCACAGAGCACAGGTTGGGAACTACTGGTACAAAACTATGCCTACTATACGCTCAGTTCCAAAAATGTAAGCCTGGCTTTGCTGAATTGAACCCACATTTGGGCTGACAAGAGGGGAAAGCCCCCTCCCACTGCGTCTGGAATACGGTCTTTAAGTATGAAAGGTGTAACTTCTAGCCCTGTGGGTCAAGGTCCTCAAGGTCCTCCTTCTCTGCATCTCCTCCCTTGCCTTGCTTGCCTGGAGGAATCTCGATCAATCTCGACTCGGTGCGGAAAACCAGCCCTGCCATATGGCACAATTTCACTCCCAGTGGGCCGGCCTTCAGCTCCACATTCCTTTAAGTCGCCCCCCATAAGAGTATATTTTGGGGGTGGTTGTAAAGTAGACATGAGGACCAAAGTGGGGCTGGGAGGCGAATCTCGTCAAACAAACTTCCGCGCCGACAACGAGCAAGTCCAAGCCCAATCACCTTGCGCCAGCGACAGACAAGGGCTTTTCCTATCAAAGGAAACTGAAGGTCACACTTTTCCTCATTGATCTTGCAATGTTTGTTAATTACTCTGTCACTGATGTGGCGAAGGATAATTAAACAGCTCTGTTTATATCTTATATGCATAATTATGTGCGTTGCCACTGAACTTGGGGAGGCTGGAGAAGAGGGAAAGGGACAGATGAGCGGAGATGAGTTTCGGCGGCGGCGTTAATAATAACGAGGGGAGGGGAGGGGAGCACGGCACAAAAGGGAGCCACGCTGATGGATCGGTGCAATGGGGGGAAAGAGGGCGAGGTGTCGAGAGTAAGTTATTAAACCGGAATGGGAGTCAAGACTTCATTTGGAGATGCCCTTCTCCGGAGGGCAAAAGGAGACACAAAGGCAGGCACTTGGAGGAACTCCATCCGTGAACTGCTGGGTGCTCTGAGCTGCCTCTGTTTGTATAACGTGGACCTAGAACTCCTTCCAGA